GGGCCTAGCGACAATTTGACGATTCGATGACCCGGTAAATATTATGTTCAATTAACAATGTGTTCGAAAAGTATTGTTTAATAGAAGATTTTGCGTCAAATTGAAGTTTTTTCAGAATTTTCAACGTAACGCTGCGCAATTTCTGGCCTTGAAGGCAAGTAAATAACGATCTAAGCATGACGAATTTTACCGCGTGGGCTTTGTACATGTAAGAAATTCGTACGTTTTTCGCTTATAACAGCAAGTCAAAAACTGTTTTCAATAAATCTGTCGTCCCGAAATATTTCTTGGCCATTTTAGTCTTGCTTCCTATTGATAAGTTCTTTAATTAGTCTTTCGCTGGAGCTTGTTTTTTAGAAAAGATATTTTTAAAAATTTACTGCGCATTGTGTTTGCTTTCTTGGTTTCTCTAAAATTTTGACTTTTCACATGCACGTGTTACACGTAAGTGTCAATAGGTTTAATCTATACTGAATGAATTTTTGGCTAAAAATTTTTAATATATGTAAAGAAATTTTATTGCAAAATTTTCACTTATTGGGAGCTCTGCTTTTAGTCTTGGCTAAATCTATATATTAAGTTAGTGACAGCAAACGCTGTAAACCGAGTATTATACTGTCTGATCGTTTTCCTTGGCGGGGGGAGGGGGCGGGGGCGAGGAAAATTAATGTATTGAAGCGTTCCAATGCTTTGTCAATAATTTTCAAGAGGACTATTTCATTCCCTAAGTAGATAAGTGAGTAAACTTAAATTCTGTTAATTTAGCCTGGATTTTGGACTGCTTTTTGGGGGGAAATATCTCCAGGAAAACTCTAGAAATGGTATTTCCGGGTGTCTAGTTTTCAAAATTTTCTGGGGGGTGGGGCTCGAGTACCAAGCTGTTTACCGTTCAATTTGGGACTTATTTTCAAAACTAATGACTGCCCTGATTTCACCCTCACCTTTTTGTTATTTTAACCCGACCCAGGCGTCTCTTAGGGCGAGTTAACGTTAAGAAGCTCGCGATTATTTATTTGACTGGCCATGTTTGATTCGATGTTGGAGTGGACGGTGAGGGAAGGGGGCAGGGAAAGCCGTATGCACTGCCCCACCCTCTCCACTATCCTTCTTTTCGACCGTCGCTCACGCCCTTAGTACAGCCTTCCGCTGTTGTAAAAATCAGAGATGCCAGCTATTTTCAACAAGCTAATACTGACCACTCGCCTGCCAAACTTACGCGTATAGTGCGTTAGGAAAGACCTCTCTAATTGAACAACCAGCGCCTCAGTCAGCGCATGGCAGAGTTCTTTGATATGTTTTTTTTATTTTTCTGTAAACGTTATTAATCGTCTCGCGGGCTTCGCGTTTTCGAAATGAAACTATATTTGCTAAAGATTCAGAATATGCTGCAAAATGCTGGTCAAACCACAAACTTCTCAGTTTTATTTTTGGGCGATAAACTGAACTGGTGTCCGACCTACAGTGCAACGAGACGTTAGTATCTCTCTGACATGAATGGATATGGTAAGGAATAATTGGTACGAGTCACGTCAGCCAGAAACTGTTTAAATATCTTGAGAACATGAACATTATCATGATCCAGTGCACGACGACTTTGTGGCCTTTCTCTCATTTTTAACAGTTGAACGACAAAGATGCAGGAATCGTCCTGAATTCAGCAAAAACATACTCGTTGATGTAACGGTCAATATCGTTAATTGAACGTCAACAATTTCAACATTTTTAAACCTTCTCGCGAGACGAGACTCTCGTCTCGAAAGGGCGTGGTAATGTAATTTAAGTTGTTCTGGAGGACAGACCTCCATTAAGCCGCCCAGTAGTTTATTTCCGCCGCTTCTGAGGGATGGTTGTCAGTATTGCTTTCACTGGTGGGGGATTAAACGAAGAAGCTTATGATGTTGACCTCAATGGTACATCGTCCATTTACATAGGACTTGTGGGAAACTGAATCTCCCCTTTGCCTTGATAGTCGATACTCAAGATGTGATTCAATTTAACAGATATATGTACAGTGCATGACTACAAAGAATCAGAAAACAAAAATCTTTAACATTCGTGAATGGTGAAATTGATAACAGTTAAAATGGTTTTTTCTTTAGATGGATCCCAGCATGAAGGGAAATGCAGCTCCTGCTGAAGCAGAAAATGCAAAATCTTCGAAATTCGCACCTGACCCTGAAAAAAAGAAGAGGAAGAGACGCAAAAAGAACAAGGCGGAAATAGTCAGTACTGCCCCCGGAAACGAAACTGAAATTGGTGGACCGTCTGCGAAGCCTTTTAAAAATGCAGATAAAGAAGATGCAAATGAATGTTTTAATTTAAACGACAAGGTTATTACAGTGAAAGAAAGCGAAGAATATGATATCCGAGTCCGCGAAACAGGTAGCAAAAAGAAAAAGGACAGCATGGTCTCTGAGGTGAATTTGAATCCTGAAGATATTAACAGTGACAATCAGGATATGTTTAGTAGCCCAGAAAGAGTTGGTTCCAAGACCAACTTCGTGGAGGAAGGCATTAAAGATCCATTTGCAATGGAAAATGAAGAGCAAGAAGCTGTGGAAGATGGTCAACCACCAACAGGAGATGATGTTTTTAGTGGGGACATCAGGCGAGACAGTGGTGAGGAATACAATGACGTGAAGGAAGAGACCATATCAGCAGGAGAAGACGAGAAACCGCCCCTAGTTTCAGATGAAGATGGTTCAAGTTCAACTCTAGAAGCTGTGACAGATAAAGAGACAGCTGAATCAGCAACAGTTACAACTACTGCTGATGGGACAGCTGATGGACCTGTTGTAGATGGTTCTTATCCTAGCTTACCCATAGGAGATGATGTGGAGTCTGATACTGGAGACAACCTATGCGATGTGCCAGTAGACAATGAGGGGTGGGCACAAATGCACTTGATAACCATAAATTCCTGCTAGTCATCTGAATCACAAGTTTATGCTAGGGCAGAAGCTTCAGATGTAAAAGTTGCCCCATCATATTTTTCAAAGTTCCTGTTAAATTTTCTGCTGCGCAACCCAAGGAAATTTAATTTTCATTTTAGATGAGAATGCAACCTCATTTCCTATGGACAATCTGTGAGTTTCTTCGAATTATGTCAAACTTGATGTTAAACTGCCATAGTCACAATAAGGCACCGTACTTTGATTTCCTATCATCCTTATTGTGCGACTGACAAAATTTTGAATTGTATCTTGTTTCTGTCTTCAGGAGAAACGTATTGTGTATTTACAAGCTCATTTATGGGGTTGGTCTCGAAGCACTTCGGAGTTTGTTCATGGACATCAATCCAACTTGGTCTAATCAGCCCTCTGATGCAGCAGCATTTGATAAAGGGAAGATGAAACTTACTAAAGACGACGAGGTCAGTTTCAAAAAAGGAAATATCCAGGAATGGGATTTCTCACTGATTACAAACATACTCCTGTTTTCAAACACTTGTGCTCCGGAGGTAAAGCGCAGACCAGGCTATGATACTGCCCTGAAGGAATTAAAGAAGTGTCGTAATAAGGTGCTGGGTCATCCCTCTACAGACAAGATGTCCGATGCAGACTTCAACCACTACTGGCCTCTTCTTTTAACCCACTTTAGTACAGTTGGTGCTGATCCAGATGCTATCGCCGAGATAAAGCTCCAGTCAGGTAGTGTGTCTTTTATCCTACCTCTTACCTCATATATTATTGTATTAAATTTTTGTTAGTTGAGTTGGATTGGAGGGTATGTATATTAATTTTGGTGTTCTTCTAGCGACGTCGACAAACAGTGCTTCAAGTTTGGCAATCATCCGCGCTTCCCATTTTTAAAAAATTTAAAGATTGTTTTTTCGTTCCATCTCGATCGAAGCAGATCTTTTGGAACGCAGACTTAAAAGTAAATAGGGTAGATAGTGCTTGAATTTCAGAAAAATTGACATGAAAGTCCTTGCATCGACAAAATGACCTCTCTCATTCACCGTTCCTCGTTTTCTTTACTAGATATGGATTGGCTAGAAAATTAAACAAAGCTTTCTGACCTCGTGTGAAGCTTTGCGATATTTGGATAATTCCAAGACCAGCTAACTATTATTTTTAAGTCAATTTAGTGTTGGTATGGCTTAAAACTAATGTTAAACTGACGATTTTGAGTAAATTCAGATAATATTAAAGTATTTAAACGCGACGCTGTTGAAAATTCTGATCCCGGTAATGTAGGATTTTATCGTGTGGGTTTCATGTGATATGTTTTTGGCTTCTTACAGGAAATGTGACGCTCTTTGAAAAAAAAACTTATTTGAAGTCTATTCACCTTCTTTCCTAGATGAAGTTCTTAATGCTGGAGGATACTACAAGGAATTATTTATGACCGAACGAGAGAAATTTAATCCTCTGGAAAAGAAGCTGGATAAATTAACAAGCAAGTTTGAAACCTTCATTGCTGATCAGTTCGGTAATTCTACCGAAAAATCTGCCCTTTGCCCAAACGATCTGAGTGGCCGCAAGTGGGATGAATGGCTGAAGTTTTGCGACGCAGTAAGCGATTTTGACACGCGGAAGAACCAGTACATCCTTGTCACTGATGTTCTTTCATCAGAGAATCTCGGCTACTTTTCCATTCTGAGAAGTATATCCTGGAAGATGGTGGTAGATTTCGATCCTATGTCAGAAGAGAAAGGGTTGTATCACTCCTTTACCTCACAAGAGGGTCAAGCTAGTCTTGTGAGCATGATTACCCCTGCGGAGGTCAAGGGAAGTACTATCGTAAGCCTCTCACGTCAGATTGATCCTAGTAAAACGCAGTGGTTGTTCGTGAAAGGAAGATCAAGTGACACAGACGGTAAGAAAGAGAATTTTTCAGAGTGGGAATCAACTTCAGTAAAAGAAATTTCAAGATTTTTTGTATGTTGTTGTGATCCAGACAAGTTCGACCGCCAGAAGCCAGTCGTGTGTCTTGTTCTACCATTGTGTCAAGAAAGTACTCCTCATTTGGAAGTGACTCTGGGTCGGCTCTTCGAGAATTTTGATGATCAATTCAGTTTACAGACAGTATCCTTTAAGCAAGAGAAACGACTTTCAGCTTTCAATAAGGTCAAAGTTCGCACAGTGGAGCTATGTCCAAGGCTTGTCCATCTTGGTTTGAAAAAAATGCTCACTTCCTCGTCAGAATCACGGTACTCAATGCCTACCTCCCAGGCCAAGGTTTATGTAGACCTCACAGAGAAAGAGCTGCTTTACTTGAGTGAACACCTTGAAATCCTGTATGAGGGCTGCGAAGGCTTACCAGAGGTCTCAGATGACTCGTTAGATGAAGAACAAGTAAGAAAATTCCTAGATGAGCACAGACAACTGTTCATGTCGGGCAATGAGATATCGTTTGCAAGTTTGTATGACAACCATGATGCTAAGAGAGAGATTGAAAAGGACATTCAGATCCATGTCCAGCGCGTTTTAGATAATGGACTTAAACGTCCAATGATGGTGGTTATAAAGCACTTACCAGGGACTGGTGGCACCACCATCGCTCGCCGGGTGATGTGGGATCTGCACAAAGCGTACCCGTGTGCTTTCATTGATTTACGTTCTCGTATGCATTTCGAGGACGACAGTAGCTACGCCAATAAGTTAGCTGATCGGATTGCAGCACTGGAGGAAATCTGTCAAACATCCCCCGTAATTCTGGTGGATGGAAAACAATCAGGGTCAATCGAAAGCATAGCCAACAAAACTATACGGATGCTGGGTAATAAAGGAAAACGGGCCCTTCTCTTGTGTTGCCAACACGGCTTTAAGACCTCAACTAAAGAACATCAAGAACTTTCTTGGGTTCATCATGTGTTCTATGTTGATGCCAAGCTCGAAGACTCCATGGCCGATCTAAACGAGTTTGATTCTAAATACGCGCAACTAATTGAGAAGTCCCTAGGTGCGAAGCCAGTTTCTGGTCCTTGCCGTGTATTCCACTTTCCACTCTTGGCAATGATGCAGAAATTTCGACCCAAACTCCAGAAGATAGTTGACGACACTTGGAACGAGATGGAAGATCTTCAACAGCAAATTGCTACTGTGGTAGCTTTCCTTCAGAAGTATGCTAACCAACCAACGCCAGCGTTACTCCTCTATGATGCTTTCAAGGGCTACATTCGTCTAGAGTGTAACAAAGCAGTCACGTACGACGATATCAAACGGCTTTTTTCGGAACATTTATTAAATCTGATGGTACCTTCAAACCCCTGGAAACGTCGAGGAAAATTTTTTCACTCAAAGGAAATGTCTCCTCAAAGTTACACGCTCCAGCATCGTGTAGTGGCTGAGATGTTGCTGAAGAAGTGTTTTCAAGAACAAGGCTGTGACCTGTTTCAAGTAGTGGGCCAGTTTCTGGAGTTTCCGATTTATAAGCGTGACAACCGCGAGTTCCTTACGCTTTTCCAAGAGCTCTTTGTCTACAACAAGGACCTCCAGAAAAAGCTTAAATTTTCTGTTCTTTTTGAGGAGCTGAAAGGCATAAGCTCGGAACGTGCCTCACGAGTGTTTTGTGAGGCAGCTGAGAAGACTGGCGATTCAGTCATTTTTGCCAATGCCGCACGATTTTTGGCAAAGATGGAGCCTCCGTTATTTTCAAAGGCGATGGCGCTGATCGAGCAGGCCTTTAAAGCAAATACATCTGGCTCCAAACAAAGATTCAGAAGTATTTGCCATACGAAAGGGGTAGTACTATACTGTCAGCTGCGATACTTGATCAGCACCGGTAGAGTCAGAGACCTCGCTAAACTTGAAGAATCAGCTAGCAAAGTGTTAGAGGCGTACAAAGAAGCTCGTGACTTCCCCCCGACCTATCCTAATCCTTTGATTGGTGAAGTTGAGGTCTGGCTGGCTTGTCTTGGATGGATTATGAAGAACATTTGCGGGCGTGACTCGGAGAAAACTCTGAAGTTTCTTGCTAACCAGTGCCCTCCGTTTTTTCGCGCCTGCGTTAGTGAATCATTTTATCTTCTTGACATTGTTGATGGCATTGTTCTAAGCGTACCCACCCTTCCAGATCCAGAGGATACTCAAAGAAGATGTAACAACAACAGGCTAGCTCTTATGAAGTCGTTTGGTACTGGCTTTTCTTCAACTGGACGTGGGAGAGATGTAAAAGATGTCGTTCAGGCTTGCAAGGCACTTTGTTGTTTCAAAAACTTTCCAAGGACCTCGGCACTAGAGTTGAAAAAGCTTCAGGCTCATTTCATTTTGAACTCCAGTGATCAAATAGAATCTCTGAAGCAAGAAAATCTCGAGTTTTTGCTCAAGCTCTTAGAGGAAATTGTCCTTCAGGAACATCAATACCGCTTGGCCTATCACCTGATGAAAGTCTGTGTATTGGTATCAGGACCTCAATGCTACAGTCTCGAACAAGGCCTCACTGTGTGCGAGAAGTGGCTGGAGGTTGCGAGTAATGACTGTCTTCCTTACTTCTATCAAATGGTCATTTATTTCTTGAAGATCCTTGATGGCCATGTAATCGAATTCATGCCAAAGTATTTGAAAGTCTTAAAGATGTGCCGAGATAAGTCACAAAACCACTGTCGTAGTAGCCAGGCAACGCTGTTTGTTGGCAAAGAAGGGATTGGAATGTCACGCCTTGTAACTCGAAGCACTTTGTTCCGTGGGGAAACAGACTACTCTACTGATGTGTCGGAGACTGTCACAAGGTTCTGGCTTGTTGACAATAGAAAGAAGTTGCTTGAATGTAAAGGAAGGATCCGCGTAGAGCCATCTTCTGATAGAGGAAAAAAGTATCCCTACATCGAGCTGCTACAAGGAAATGTGGTACTCTACGTCGGAAAGAATGCTGACATTGGCAAAGTGGAAAGAGATTTCAACAAAGGACAGCTGGTCTATTTTGTTGTCAGTTTCAACCTTCAGGGTCCAGTTGCAAACGGGATAACCTTCTCTCCTCATACTCCTTCTCGTGAAAAGGACCAGTCCCAGAACAAAATGGCGTGAACTTGCAACAATGAACTTGCAACAAGCCAGTGTTACTGGGAGTTGGGATGATACATTGAAATTAGTTAACTGTCCATTTTGGCATTAGGTGAGACATTCGCTCACATTTTTTATATTGACTTCCATCAAGAGATTCTAAACTGCTTGCTTTTATGTCTTCATGAGCAAGAGGCAGCGAGAAACAGATACGCGTAATTTGTTTCTTCTTGTGGGTAAAAAAAATGAGGTTTTCATTTCCTAAACAAAAAGTCGAGGAATTGTTACGGCTTCTTTAGGCTTCATTATTTAAACTTAACCGGAAAGAAAACTTGAATTTGCAGATTTGAACATGCCACAAAGAACTGATATATTTAATCATTTCTAAGAATGCCTAGCGTTTCGTTAACAAATTTGTGAACTAAGAGACTGGTCATTATTGCTTAGGGTTAGCTCGGGGGATCGGCTTTGTTATATTCTTGTAATCCCCCCAGCCCCCCACCTCATTGACAGTTAATAAACAATCAGTTTTCTATAGTTCCCCCCATTATACTCTATCGGGGAAGACTGATCCCTATTCTATTCCTCCTGAAAGAACCGTTTTATCCCCCGAAATCCTCCACACCCCCCCTTAACGCCATCCGTGATCCGTGATAAATAATGACTGTTCCCTCAGATGTAGGGGTGTGGCTTGTAAATGTTTTTCATCTCTATCATCTTAAAATCCAAGACTTTTAACTTACATCACTCAGATTCCATAGTGACAGGGATATATAGTCCAGGCAATCACAAGTAACTCCTCTCATTTGACGAAATGTTCGAAAACAATTGGCTGTTCCTCATAACTCCAGTAATATTATGCGAGAATATAGAGTATGATCAACACATGTTTGCTCCAACACGACCACGTTCAGGCTAAGAAACATGAATAGAACGAGACGAGGTGATATTCTTCTCTTGGATAAGATGAATTTCTTCTGCTAAAGGGCGGAGTTGGACTTCTGTGTAATGCAATTTTGAACAACAATGGGTCAACTATTCTTTCTCTCTTTATCTTTGTCAGTCTCCTAATTCCTTTCTAATCATTCTGAACACACTAAACACTCGCGGTATTCGCAAAAGACGAATATGTTATGGGTGGTATTGAATCTGCTAAGTTATGCACGACACAGCTTTCCCTTGTTTGTTTGCAATCTGCACAAGCAAGCGCGTGAGCAAAAGGGTGTGACAGGAAATCTGTCCTACATAGCTCTACCATTAATATTCTGATTAGGATGGAAAAGATGTGGTGCTTACTCAGAAAATCTCTTCAGCTTGATTAACAAATGTCACTGGGATATTTTAAATAAGTGATGACACGTTGAGGATATTGATAGCCCCTTCACATTTATATTGCAAATAGTCGGCACATTCTTCTCTTAGATTTCCACTTTGTAAATATCTTAGGACTTCTTGAAACGTTCTTCTTGTGTGAGTAAGCACCACATCTTTTCCATCCTAATCAGAATATTAAGCCAGATGATTGGTTGATTTTACTAGCTTCGATTCTAAAGAATCCATCTTATATTTTTGAACAGAAACAATTTTTTTCCTTTTCACAAGATTGACTAAGGTTATGTTTTTTATACAAACGTATTCCTAAAATTCGTTGCCAACAATTGCGAGTGACACATCAAAGTTTAGAGATAAATGATTAAACCCGTTTGCTCGCACAGACTTACTACACATTTGCAACTTCTCAGCATAGTGGAAAACACGAGTGGAGAAGAGATCAATACTTCGCCATTTACTTACTTGCTACATTCTGGTAGCCATCTTTAGTTGCCTGTCAGAGGGCCTTCTGGGAAACTTAGTGCCCAGTGCTCCTCGCTTTGCCAAGCTGTGCCTGTTGCCAATAGGCTGTGCCTGTTCCTAATAGGCTGTGCCTGTCCCTATTATGCCGTGCCTGTTTCTAATGAGCTGTGCCTGTTCCT